TATTCACATTCGCCAAACCCAGATTACAGTTGAAATTAGTTGTCTTTATTGATTAAGATTCTTTATCAATACATAACAAACTATGTATTCAAATATCGTATTCATATTACTCATATGGATTCAAGCTAAATTGAGGAATTAATATCCTACAATAGCCTGGGGCATTACCACGAACGTGCAACGCGCGTTACTGAACTAGTCATTATATAAGAGTGTCTTACTGTCTTGTGTCTTACTTGTCTTTTTTCTTGTAAATGATTTATCACCACGATATTCTTTTCATAAAATAGCGAAAATCGCACTTTCAGCCCCCAAAATAGTACCAATATTGAAATATTATTCCCGTCTATTTAAGTTTGTAAATGTCAGTTCTCAATTATCCGAGTTGTTGTAAATGTGGTTCTTGCCGTCAAATGTAAACCAACACTGTTAACTTTTATAACTTTTGACACAGTTACAGTCTCTGTTCTAAAAATCGTTCTAGGCGCCCGACTAGTCCCCGCCTAGGCGCTAGGCGGTGGCCGGGCGCCCCGATTTTCGTCTAGGCGCTCCGACTAATTGGTTTGCCGTCTAGGTGAATTAGTCGGCCGCCTATGACGCCTAGTTGCCCGCCTAGAGCGCCTAATCGGCCGCCTAGCCCGTCTAGATTCGCCGAACATTACTTTACTTTTAAATTTTAATTTTCCAAACGATATACTTAGTTTAACTTTAGCCATAGATATAAAGAAATGTAGTTGTAAACTAAGATAAAACTATACATGTTTGTATATATACCTAAATTTTATCATTATTTATATTTATAACATAATGAAGTGAAATGATTAGTTATCATATACTACGTATGATTAAATGTGATAATTCTTTCTTTCATGTTTGTTAATGTATATGTATAATGTATAATGTATATATGTATTTTATGCACAAAAATACAATATTACTTATCGTATTTATGCAAAACTATAGATAAAAATGCAATTTCTATATCTCCGACTAGTCCCCGCCTAGGCACCCGCCTAGCCGCCTAGGCATCAGGCACCGGGCTGGCGCCCGACTAGCGCCTTTAACTTGAGAGTTCAGACACAAGAAAAAAGTAATACTGTTTTTTAAAATCACACCGATAATTTTCGTCTTTAAAATCACACCACAAATGAAAATGTTGATCGAAAAATCCAATTCCATAGGAAATAAATTTCCGACACAGTCAAATGTTTCAAAAAATAGCCAAAAAATTATACCGTTTTTATACATATTGTCAAGATACTTTGCACCTTAAATGTTTGCCAACCCAAATATTTATTAGCACTATGAGTGCTACAATGTGATGTGAAAATTTGTACAAAATTATAAAATTTTTAACTTGTTTGAAAACCTTTTTTTATACAGAGTATGTGCCGGACTTTTATAGTATGAGAGCTTTGGTTTTTTCAAATGGCACTTTCTTCCTATGGTCTACTTTTACCGGAAAAATTATTGGTGATTTTTTTTGACAATGTGTAAAAAAAAGATACAATATTTTGGTCATTTGAGATTTTTTTGTCTGTGTCAGATATTTATTGCATAAAAATTGTATTTTTTTAATCAACATTTTTTATTTGTTATGTAATCTTAGAGAGAAAAGTTACCGGTGCGATTTTTTAACGGTGTGTCTATAATTATAACTCTAATTGTGTCAAAAGTTACAAAAGTTAATAGTGTTATTTCTTATTTGACAGTGAGAACCACACTTACAATAAATCAAACAATTGAGGGGGTGACATTTACAAACTAAAAAACACGGGGACAACATTTCAATATACGTACTATGGACTGAAAGTGCAATTTCCCTAAAATATATGAAAAATACTCCATTAACACAGTGACGTCTTGTTCTTTTTTTAACTTTTAAAATATGTATTACATAGTTTTGAGATTTCCTGAGGATGTCGCAGGTTTGATTATTGACATTAAATAGTACGATTTAATGTTTCAATAGAATTTTATTAACATGTTCTATTAAACGTTAACACAAGTTTTCTTGGTTGATATGCGAAAAACAAAAACAAAAAAGAAACACAAGATTAGGAAGGTCTAATTACAAATTTTAAATAAGAAATAACGGATGACTAATTAATATTAAAAGCTGGAATAGCTCAGTTGGTTAGAGCGTGTGGCTGTTAACCACAAGGTCGGAGGTTCAACCCCTCCTTCTAGCGTGTATACTTTTATAATTTTTGTTAACTTATGAACCAGTCCACTGCAAGTTTAACTTGTCACCTTTGTAGAACACTTTTTTTCCCCCTCATTAGTCATATCATAAAAACATCGATACTCGCAAAATTTTGTTACATCTTTGAATTGATTATCAATTTTTAACATATTGATTTTCAATATTTGACGGCATAAATATGGGTATTTATGGCTATAAAAAGTTTAATTTTATCAGCATTCAAACTTTGAAATGTTAAATGACAAAGTCACATATTGGGCATATTATCCTAATGTCTTACCAAACAATTTTTAGGGCATATAAGATCAAATATCATCGAACAAACTTGATATGAACTTGTCTAATATGATATGATAATTAATGTAGTCATTATTTTTAGGTCACGAGCTCACACATTATTGATGGTTGATGCAGGAGCGAAGCCATCGATACAACGAATATGTTAGAAAAACATTTAACACGGAATTTTTAGAGATATTTTGACTTTGCATTCTGCTTTTGGGGGCTATATATTGGACTTTGCACCTCATTTTCAAAACTCTTAAACTTTGCACCCTATTTTCCCTAAAATTTCTTTGCCTTTGCACCCCATTCAGGAATTTTTCTTCACAAAATGTTTTAGACAGGATGCAAAATCTAAAAATTTTGAAAATGGGGTGCAAAGTCCAATATCACTCAAAAGGTAGGCAAACTCAAAATTCCCCAAAAATATAGACATTTTTAAAACTTGGACTGGGCCCGGGCCAAGGTTGGTCACCCCTAGCTACGCCCCTGGGTTGATGGGTACCAGCTCTAGATTTGTAGAAATAAGGATCACCCCGTTTAACTAGAGAACTTGGTAAAGATACACACATTTGTGCCAAATTCATATATAATCTACTCCGTATTATTATATATGTCAAAGTAATTTTACCACAAAATATTTGTCATTGGTAGCATGTAGCTGTGTCAATTCGTGCCAAAACGATTAATTTTATAGCGCTCGTATTAGGTTTTGTGATTCAATATTATATTTAGTGTAATTTCTCAAAATTTAAATGACAACTATTTGTACTAATTTCCAAATTAGTATGCAAGGCTTAACTGCCATCCTCAATTAAACATCATAATTTAAAAAAAGACTTTTTTTAGGGCGATGATAAATGTGAAAAGTATCTCCAAAGTAGTTCATTATAATGAAATGATCATGTAACGCATTTCAATGTCAATACATACTCGAAATAAAGGTGTTGTATTCAGAAAATACTCGAGATCAAAAGAGTATTGTTTTGTTGTTGAATTTTAAATCATACTCCCTATTGCATGTTTCTTCAAAAATATAGTGTTTCTTTTTATGAGCTTCTACATCATGTAATTATAAAATATTCAATTAAGAACTAAATTCTATTTAGCCGGATTACAAACAGCCAAGAAGGGGCACTGGTGTATATTCAAATTAAAATCTTGCACACAAACTCATTGCCATTCAAAGTTTAAAGAAACAATCCGTTTTTATGTAAGTGTTTTTTTAATGTTACTAAAATCAAACTTATTTACACAAATATGACTAAGGATGTTTTTACTTAGACTTAATTTGCTGGTCTAGTCTGGTCTGGTCTGGTAATGTCTGATCTCTTTGTATTTTTATAATAATTCAAGTCTGGTCTGATCTGGTCTGGTCTGGGACAGATTACAATCCATGTAAAAACATCCTAATAGTTACTACAATGTAGCATTATGGTAACTTAAATTTTAAAATTAAACCTAAGTTACTATAATTTCATCACTACTCGAATCACTAGTCACAATTTTGTAAACATTTTTAATTTTAGTTATAAATATGTAATTATTTCTTACATTAATGATGTAAGATATTCTTCCGCGCTATCACACTCAAACCAAATAAAGTATTTTTAAGTTTTTTATTTTCCAACATTTTTTATGGAAAATATTTCTTTGACCTCTTACCAAATGCTTCAATACTGATCACATATATCACATAATACACACATCAATATCATGGCCACGCAGTCATGAACTACACCATTAATGGGTCATAAATTTTACAACAGTATTAAGACAGCATTGTATGCTCAGCTCCCAATCTTGTCACAAATTATCATTTCATCATTTGTTTAGGTTGAACACAGTACATATTTGCTCAGCTCCCATCTGATCGCATTTGTTTATGTTCAACAAAGTGTAGGGCCCAACGGGCCAACACAGCTCCCTATTCTTTAAAAACATTCACCAACTATCTTAGTTGTTTTAGGGCTACACCCGACAAATACCAGCCCGTTTGGTAGTATAATAATTTTATTAGGACATGAGTCTAATCGCTACTCAACTCCGTCAATAAATTAAATTTGCCAACGATTTATATGTATTCATTTAGTTATTAAATTTCTCTTTGCAATCTAGTACCGTCAATATATTCACCAAACACAATTTTTTTAAATAAATGTATAAATCCTTACTTTTATTATCACACATCAATTATGTGACAACTTGTTTTTTCCCAATAATTATGATTTGAAAAGTCAAACATTTCAATGTAAAAACATATTTTTGTGTGTGAGGATATTAAAATAAATTGCAACTACCAATCAAATTATGTACTACTATATACAAAATTACATTATTTAATTATTACTCCCTCCGTCCCCAAAAGAATGTCCTACTCTCCCAAAATGCAATTCCCTATATGAAAGTCCTACTTCTATTTTAGGAAAGAAAAAATTGTGTAAAGGCTTTAATACCCCTCTGTCCATTCATGGATTATATGCGCTTGTTCAGCCCTTTCATTTGCCCTTTCCGTCGGTTGGCTTTCCTATGCCATTAATACCTTCTACATTTTTCTCCTTCTCACTCTACATTATCTCCTTCCCTCCCCTACCGATCCTGTGATTCATCTCCTCCACTGCTCCTTCTCACTTTACCTCATCTCCGCCGCTGCTAGCCCCTACTTCTTCTCCTCCGCTGCCCCCTATTTGTCCTCCGTCGTTACCCCTACCTTCCTGATATCTCCATCGCAATCGCTCAACTCCGAGCCCTGACCTGTACATTGAAAGGAAACCTAATCCTCCACATATCCGTCCTATTAAGAACTCAGATCTTCTCACCCAACCGCATGTAACATCGACCCAGATGTCCAGGAGCAAACATATTCGATTTGTAATCTGGTTTCTTATCGGGTCTCACCTCCGAAGTCACATGCATCGGAGCCCAATCGTATGCCCCTATGTATTCACTTCGGTTATTCCAGTGAGTTTGAAACCAATCCAGGTTCGGCCTAGAGGAAGATCCATGGAGACAAGGTGTTGCCTGGCACTTTTGATGGGCTGGAAGGCGTGGAGGATGGTGATGAGGTCTTCTTTGCAGTGGCGGAGAGAACAAGGGAGCATGCACTGGCCATGGTTGGCCATGACACTTTTAAGGGTAGTACCCTCTACTTTTATCTCTGTCTTTAATTTTATAATGTGTATGATGAATTGGGCTTGAGTTACAATTGAAGCATGAAGTTTGGGGAATGAGTTACAGTTGGCTGATTTGGGGTCTAGAGTTTGAGTGTTGGTTGAAACTTATGATGATTTGGGGTTTGAGTTCAACTAGGATGTATGAATATGTTGCATATGTTTGCAACTGTAATTGTAGCAACCCAGTTTCAAAACTGTAAGAGGCTCGATTAGCATTGCATTTGAGTTGGTGGATCTGTGTGTGTGCATTGTATTTGAAAAACTTTTATCATGACTTAATGCATCTGGGCTTACAAAGAAGTTGTCCTCGTACATGCCAGTACATTTATAATGTGTACTCTAGGTGTGTACATGTACATACCAAAAAAAGTGTAACACACTAAATGTGTTTACAAACACTAAAAAACAAAAAAATGTGATTGCAAATTAAACACATCTACATTTGTAGCAGTTCATATGTGAAGAATTATCTACTCTTCAATTATGAACTGCTCTTCAGTTGGTCTGCATTGTTGGTAGTTTCCATTTGATAATTCAGAAATGCCCTAGCTGATTCATATAACTATGCACTGATCTCGATATTTTGTGCTAACAACCCTTGCCTTTCTGGAGAGTTCTTTCCTATATGCTGCAACTTGAAATTGTTGCCTCTATTGTTTTGCATTACACTTTGCATTACACACTGATAGCTTAGAAAAACCTTGTTCAATGTGCTTGTTGTGAGCTCATTGAAAGCAGTTTGGATAGCTTCAATTAATTGTGTAATGCTCTTCGGGGCCTTTTGATCTTTTATTGAATCAATAGCCCTAAAGAAGCCCAAGTCCAGGACATTCAAGTCTGGACTATTTGGGGGCTGACATATCAGTTTGATGTTCCAACCATTGTCTGTCCCACACTTAACAAAGTTTAGGTCATCAACTTGAATATGAGGTCTTGCATTGTCTTGTTGAATCATGACATTTCTGTTTTCTGAATCTAGCCATTTCTCCTTGATTGTTGGCACAATAGTATTCTATAGCATATCTTTATTTACTGCTCTCATCACGTTTGTGATTGGTTTTATCTCTAGAGTCTGAGCAAGCCTATTTTTGCCTGATCTTTTGGCTACACCTTCATAAGTGAAAGGGGAATATACCTACTTTACCATCTCATTCCACTTCCACATTCTGTCCCAGCCTAGGCCTACCAACCACAACCAAGAACATGATTTTAGGCATGAACTTTTTGGACTGCACTAATCTGTATGGATCAATTTCCGTTGGCAGAGTGTAAAACCTTGTAGTTTCTTTGGATAAGTAAAACCACTTCTCATCAATGTGTAAGTAATTCTGGAAATCATGAAAAATAGGCCCGCTAGGAAGGGAAGCTAGGATTATGTGACTGAAACAGTATTCTAACATTTTCAGTTTCCCAACTTCACTCAACAAGGGCTTCATACCACTTGAATATCTTTTAATTTTCTTTCTTTGAAACCATCTATGGATGTGGATTTGGAAACTTGCATTGCATAGCCTAGAGAAAACATACTTTTTCTCTCATGCAATGGTATTTCTGAAAGCTTTTGTGCATCAAAGACTACCCGTTTTCTGCCCACATTTCCTTTGCAATTACTTTGCATATTTACAGGTTCACCACCAAGCATTTGCTCCTTTGCTTTCTTCCATAGCCTCTGCACACTGCAGGCTGTAATGTTGAACTCTGTTGTTGTGTTCTTAATGACACCCCTATGAAGTTTCCCTTCACTAAAACTACCTATCAACTTTTCAATTAATCTTTTCCTATCATCACTGCTAAATTTGGGTATGATACTTGTATGCCTTTGAACTGTTGGTTCTGGCGCCTCCTCTTCTGATTGTGAGCTGTTTGCATGTGACAAGGAGCCGAGATCAACCACATTCAAGGGCAAGTCGTTGAGATCGAAGGAGAGTGCAAAAGCAATTGGCAGTGAATTGAAGCCACAAACTCTTTTTTATCTGCGTCCATTGAATGCTTGTATTGAATGCTAATCACTTGTAAATTTGCAATGAATGTGGTGTATTTATAGTTGTAGGCCATTGGTAGATTATAAGATGTAAAAACATTTGAAGTGAAAATTTGGAGGGACTTTCGATTTTTTGGCATCCAAATTTGGAACCATCTTGTCAAATTACACATTGTAAATGCTTAATATCCACTCATTTTCTTCTCTTAATTTCGGCCCCTTTCCTTAATTTTTTTTTACAGTGGGGTATTAAATTAATTCCACTGTTAATTACCAAGTTAATTTCGGCCCCACTCATTTTTACACTGTCATAAATTAATTCCACTCCCATAGTAATTTTATTAAGATAGTAAAAAGAGCAAAATCAAGTTATCTAAATTCCTTAACACTCGGGTAACAATTTAGTGGGTGAATCAACTAAAGAGATTTTTTTTAATGAATTTCACTCTTGTGATAATATTCATTTCCATGTATTTAGGACATTAAAATATTGAACTCAACACTCCTAAAATTAACCAAGTAATAGTTTTTAACCGATTGTAATGACATGATTATCAACAATAAAAATTAAAACTTGCCCAAGTCTAAACTTAATTAGTTACACATATTTGCAGTAAACAAAATAAAAGTAAAATTCATGTTGATAAAAGTAAAATTCATTTTTACAAATTTGTCACAACCTCTAAACCAAGACATTTTGATAATTTAGTTTGAAAGTAGCTATATAATCTTGTAAGTTTTTTGACACCTTGGTGTTGGAATATTGATGGAATTGGTTTTGCAAAAAAGACAAAGAAAATCCAAGCACAATCAAAGTTGGAGTTCATAATTTATTTAAGAGCAAGTTAACCAAATCCTATTTTTACAATCATAAAGCAGGAAAATGCAAACGTGTGAGGGATCCAACTAAAACTCTTGATAAAACACATTACTTAGGTCTTACACAGTGTGTGTAGTCTTTTTCAAAGGAGATTTACCTTAATAGGACTATGTTAAAGACTGCGCTGTTTATTTATTAATAGGAAATGCAAACGTGTTGAGGAAAATATTTATTGTGATCAAGTTTGTCTAGAGTCTTGTTATTCCAATTAGAATAGTTTTATCATTTATAGCCATTATGTAAAGAATAAATGAACTATGGTAATAAGGCCCAAAAAGGCCTTAGGCCCAGAGTTCTAGGTTACCATTTCAGTACCTGTACCTACGCCTATAAATATGCGTACATGTGGTACAGGACCGAATAATCGATAATCAGAAATATACAGCGCCTTTCACTCAGAGTTTTCGTTCTTTATTTCTCGATAGTATAGCGTAAGGATTTCTTCTGTTCAGATTATTTCTCAATCATTATTAAGAATCCTTCTCTATATTATTGTAGATCTTATTTAGCTGTTCTTCAATCTTATTATTTGGGACCAACATCACATGCAAAATCTGTGACATGCTGTAGTGAAGACCTGTGGAATAACAATTTTCATGGATTTGTCTTGATCTGTAATGATGCACTTTGGTTCTCGACCCATTGCATTTAGAAAACAACGAAATAGCTGAAAGTATGATTCCACATCCTCCTTCAACAACAAACCCACACCAAAAGTAATGCACTTTTTGTGATTATCAACGCCGGTGAAAGGGGCAAAAACCATGTTATACCTGCGTTGTCAAAGAAAAAATTAATAGTGCATTGATTAAATTTAAAATGCCCATTGCGATAACTTTTCAATGAATGACATACGAAAAATAGTATGGTAACATGCATAAAATTATGAATAATTTAAATAATAAAGGGATTAACTAATTATAAAAATACTGTTGTCTCGTAGGTAGCATCAAAAGAAACAACATCCCCGAATAACGCGTAGTTCTTTACGCACACTGGATCCACCCAAAATATACGTGTCAACTGGTCACTCTCATCAACAACATAGTCAAATCAAAAGGCGGAAGAAGTCTCTTTCTTTCTAAAAAGCTTATCTATCAACCTTTGAGCATCCACGCCAACTAAATAAGCCTTCAAGTCACGTTTGAAATTCTTAAAATCCACGGATGTAGCACCAATATTGGCATAACCGCCAACAGTTTCCTTATACAATCGATAGCATTTCATCATGCATGTATTTGCCTTAGCGCAATTCAAAAAAAAAATGATGCCCAAGGTCAAGTTTCTTATTCACTTTCAGAAATGGCATCGAAGAATCAGAAAACATACAATGGTTATGCCTCTCCTCAAAGAATGTAATTTCATATCCACTAGTGCCGGCAAGCCTATAAACTGCACGTGCTTTGCAACCACACCTATTAGAAACCCTGCGTCTTTTTTTCTTATCATCGTTAACACATACGCCAGGAGTTATTAACTCTTCAATGTGAGGTTACTCTTCATTTTCACATCCATCAGAATCAGATGATTCATTTTCAATAGTGAAATCTTCATTTTCAATACGTAACTCATTATCTAAATCAACATTGTTGCATGAATCGGTGTTAGGTACAACCTCGTAGATTTAGATACGTTTTTGAAGCCCTGTCTATTACACACCATATATTTCCATACAATAACGCCATCGCGAGCCCTCGATTGACTACTTTTACGTGATTCAAAACCACAAACTGATGCATACTGGTCGTAAAAAAAGCATACCATCATGTAAGGTTTTGAATAACATACCAACACACGGTTTTAAAGCAGGATCACAATCAGGTGTCCAGTACATGGTGGATCCCGGAGAAACTTTCATTGAATTAACATCAAACGATTGAGAAATTGATGTAGATGCGCTGAAGGGAACGTCATTCGAAACTGATGGAACCATGGACACAAATGATTCACAAACACATGGTTTAGCACATAAAGCAGAGTAAAAGTGCAACATCATAATGCATTCAAGAGCATCGTAATAAAGTATAAATGTGCACAAGAAAAATGCATATAACCACATTTTTTAATGATTGATATACATTAAGAATGGTTACGCTACAAGCGTATTATGTATAATATCTTAAGGAAATTAAAAATAATCCAGCTACATTCTAATGTATTATATCCAATTTGTGTACTAACTCACATAATCACCCAAAAAACATATAAAGATAATATATGAATTAACAGCTGAAATAAAAACAAAAAAGAGTAGAGTAAAAGTGCAATATCAGAATGCATATAAGAGCATCGTAATAAAATTTAAAGTGTACGAGCAAAATAATTAGAAATTTTAAAATGCATATAACCACATATTTTAAAGCTTTATATACATTAAGAATGGTCAACCAAAACAAAAGCGATACGAATATATACGGAGTATAAATTAAAGGATGAAACGAATAATCGTCAATCTATATTATATTGAATTATATCAAATTTGTGTACTACCTCACATAATCAACCAAAACAAAAACGATACAAATACATATAAATTAAAGGATGAAATAAGAAAAACTGAGAATGAATACTAACCGAACTCCATGGAAGAAGATGAAGCAGCAAACCAGCGGCGGAATAAAAAAAACCTCGACAAGCAAAATCACAGATATCGAATGACCATCGCATCGCAGAAAGAGGGAAGAAGGTCGGAGGGGAAGAGAATGTCGCAGGGGAAGTATCTTAGGAAGGAGGGAAGACTGGCGCAGAAATAAAAGGAAAGGAATCGTGAACGAGATTGTAGGAAACGGTTGAAAGTAAATTGACATGGATACCCTCTACGTAGATGGATCACACGGTTATATTAGAAGTTAATCCAATGGCTCACATCTATTCTCATTTCAATCGGGGAGGCAGTTAAATAAGTTTTTTGAAAAAGACTGCGCTGTTTATTTATATTAACTGCGCAGTGTTCTTCAATAATTTATTTGACTGCCTTCTCGATTGAATTTTTAGCTTAAATTTAATATGGATAAACTAGACTTGATGAAAAACATCCCAAAATGTCCTCAGCCGTTCCCATCAGGCCGGCGGCGCTGGACAGGAAGACTAATACACACACACACATAAAATAAAACTAATAAACTATGGAGTATAAAAGATAAACTTATGATTAATGATCAACGAATATACATTATTCATATGCTTCTTTTGTTCTTATGTATTGGTAATTTAAGTAGTTTGATAAATACATACACTAATTTTACAATTAGTTTATTAGATGGTGGTAGAAATATCTATGTATCTTTTACCTAATTTGACGGTCGTAGTAATGTAGTTAATTTTTTTTTTTGACTTTGTGATTGTCACTAGAAATCATATTGGTAAATTTTTTTCTTTTTTTTGTTTATGATTTTTCTATAAAGGTTAAATATGTCTGTATTGTAATGACTTTAGGTACAAACTGAAACAATAAGTTTAGAAGAGTTTGTGAGAATGAAAACAATGAACCAAATGATAATGCAAAAATTAGAAATGAGAATGAGAGTGTAAATGATCATAACGACAATTTAATTGTTGGTGATACGAGTTTTAATGACGAGAAAGAAAAATACACGACCATTCTTAGAAAATTGGATATGTGTTGTTTCTCATATGATGTGTTTTTACTCCATTCATCTCATATATTTTTGATTTCTTTGTCATACAAATAACATTATTATTATAATTTCTAAATATTAAGCAGTTTTTCGTCTAGGGCCTCCAAAGTCCTCAAGACGGCCCTGTTCAAGACAACATATTGTGTCTTGAATAGTCCTTGAGCAAACCACACGAGGTGGGGGAGTGCCGGGGAACACTTCCCAATTTTATTAAAGAAGTTTGAAGTCGAGCTGGTATGATGACGTGCACTTTGTCGTGTATGCACTCAAAATATTAATCAATACAACACTAAGACGTAGTATAGTGTAGTAATGTTCGTATCCACAGGGAAAGGAACACTTTTCTTTTTATAAAACTAGAAATAGGTAACAAGGTTTTTTTTGATAGGTTGATGAACTTAATTTATATTTAAGCACGAAGATGAACGACTTATGTGTTTTAATTAATGATAAAGGGACTTGGTTTTGCTTTTATCCACTTAATGAAATGTTCGTCGATCCCGGTTATATATTTAATTTAACTATCTTCCTCTCGAATACTCAATCGAGGAGTATATCCAATTCATCGAGGGTAGTTATTAATAACGAGACACGTTCATTAATAAAATTTACTACCGAGCCAATATAGAACACGCGCCGTATATTCACTCGATAGTAGCAATAAAGTCAAGATGAAAACGATTGAGATTGATAACCTCAACACAAGCGGTTTATTGGTTTAATCAATATAATTAATTCCCCTTAGATTATTAACCATGAGACGCATGCATTAATAATCCAAGTTTACTACCGTGAAAGGACCGAATTAATAACAAGCGGATTAATCGACCGATTCTAGTATTAATTAATATATGAAACAAAACTAGTTGACCCTTTAAGTAATGCTCAAAATATTAATATGGAATAGGAATTAATTAATATTCAAGGAAGAAGATTAAAGAAAATAACTCACAACTTACAATTCATTAAGCTTCAAAGTAGCAAAACCAAGATGGAATAGTTTAGCTCCTCATTTGGAGACTAAACATGAAGAAAATATAAAGAAATACTTGTCTAAACTGAGCTTAGAAGTATATAGGAATTGGTGAATTTAATGTGAAGGAAATAAGGTGTATTTATAGCAATTTGGAGCATTCAGGGATGTGTACCCGATCGGGTTTTCAGCTCACTCGATCGAGTACATTATGCAGCTTCCTCGAAGCTGGAAAATAGGGTCATACCCGACCGGGTCTGTCAGTCACCCGACCGGGTATGACACCCGAACGTGTTAAAAATCTTCCCGCATGATGCTTTGTTCCCGGATTTGATTTGATTCGATTTTTCAGCAGTGTACCCGACCGGGTATAGGTTATACCCGACCGGGTACAGACAAAAAACGAGATCTTCACTTTTTGTCTTGCATTTTTGCACCTTCCTTCCACTTTTGGGGTTCACCAATGGTCCTTTGAATGATCTTTGACCTGTTTGAGCTCAGAATAAACCTAATATAAACAAATTACAAACATTTTTACAAACTAAACTATTACACCAAAAGTGTGTAATTTCCAAAGTAATAATCAATCTAAACTAATTAAAAACACAAACATAAACATGGAAATTACATGAATGTCATATGACCTGCACGGTCTTTAATATGGTGGGTAATATGGCAGGTACACAACTATTCAAGACACAATATGTTGTCTTGAACAGGGCCGTCTTGAGGACTTTGGAGGCCCTAGACGAAAAACTGCTTAATATTTAGAAATTATAATAATAATGTTATTTGTATGACAAAGAAATCAAAAATATATGAGATGAATGGAGTACAAACACATCATATGAGAAACAACACATATCCAATTTTCTAAGAATGGTCGTGTATTTTTCTTTCTCGTCATTAAAACTCGTATCACCAACAATTAAATTGTCGTTATGATCATTTACACTCTCATTCTCATTTCTAATTTTTGCATTATCATTTGGTTCATTGTTTTCATTCTCACAAACTCTTCTAAACTTATTGTTTCAGTTTGTACCTAAAGTCATTACAATACAGACATATTTAACCTTTATAGAAAAATCATAAACAAAAAAAAGAAAAAAATTTACCAATATGATTTCTAGTGACAATCACAAAGTCAAAAAAAAAATAACTACATTACTACGACCGTCAAATTAGGTAAAAGATACATAGATATTTCTACCACCATCTAATAAACTAATTGTAAAATTAGTGTATGTATTTATCAAACTACTTAAATTACCAATACATAAGAACAAAAGAAGCATATGAATAATGTATATTCGTTGATCATTAATCATAAGTTTATCTTTTATACTCCATAGTTTATTAGTTTTATTTTATGTGTGTGTGTGTGTATTAGTCTTCCTGTCCAGCGCCGCCGGCCTGATGGGAACGGCTGAGGACATTTTGGGATGTTTTTCATCAAGTCTAGTTTATCCATATTAAATTTAAGCTAAAAATTCAATCGAGAAGGCAGTCAAATAAATTATTGAAGAACACTGCGCAGTTAATATAAATAAACAGCGCAGTCTTTTTCAAAAAACTTATTTAACTGCCTCCCCGATTGAAATGAGAATAGATGTGAGCCATTGGATTAACTTCTAATATAACCGTGTGATCCATCTACGTAGAGGGTATCCATGTCAATTTACTTTCAACCGTTTCCTACAATCTCGTTCACGATTCCTTTCCTTTTATTTCTGCGCCAGTCTTCCCTCCTTCCTAAGATACTTCCCCTGCGACATTCTCTTCCCCTCCGACCTTCTTCCCTCTTTCTGCGATGCGATGGTCATTCGATATCTGTGATTTTGCTTGTCGAGGTTTTTTTTATTCCGCCGCTGGTTTGCTGCTTCATCTTCTTCCATGGAGTTCGGTTAGTATTCATTCTCAGTTTTTCTTATTTCATCCTTTAATTTATATGTATTTGTATCGTTTTTGTTTTGGTTGATTATGTGAGGTAGTACACAAATTTGATATAATTCAATATAATATAGATTGACGATTATTCGTTTCATCCTTTAATTTATACTCCGTATATATTCGTATCGCTTTTGTTTTGGTTGACCATTCTTAATGTATATAAAGCTTTAAAATATGTGGTTATATGCATTTTAAAATTTCTAATTATTTTGCTCGTACACTTTAAATTTTATTACGATGCTCTTATATGCATTCTGATATTGCACTTTTACTCTACTCTTTTTTGTTTTTATTTCAGCTGTTAATTCATATATTATCTTTATATGTTTTTTGGGTGATTATGTGAGTTAGTACACAAATTGGATATAATACATTAGAATGTAGCTGGATTATTTTTAATTTCCTTAAGATATTATACATAATACGCTTGTAGCGTAACCATTCTTAATGTATATCAATCATAAAAAAATGTGGTTATATGCATTTTTCTTGTGCACATTTATACTTTATTACGATGCTCTTGAATGCATTATGATGTTGCACTTTTACTCTGCTTTATGTGCTAAACCATGTGTTTGTGAATCATTTGTGTCCATGGTTCCATCAGTTTCGAATGACGTTCCCTTCAGCGCATCTACATCAATTTCTCAATCGTTTGATGTTAATTCAATGAAAGTTTCTCCGGGATCCACCATGTACTGGACACCTGATTGTGATCCTGCTTTAAAACCGTGTGTTGGTATGTTATTCAAAACCTTACATGATGGTATGCTTTTTTTACGACCAGTATGCATCAGTTTGTGGTTTTGAATCACGTAAAAGTAGTCAATCGAGGGCTCGCGATGGCGTTATTGTATGGAAATATATGGTGTGTAATAGACAGGGCTTCAAAAACGTATCTAAATCTACGAGGTTGTACCTAACACCGATTCATGCAACAATGTTGATTTAGATAATGAGTTACGTATTGAAAATGAAGATTTCACTATTGAAAATGAATCATCTGATTCTTATGGATGTGAAAATGAAGAGTAACCTCACATTGAAGAGTTAATAACTCCTGGCGTATGTGTTAACGATGATAAGAAAAAAAGACGCAGGGTTTCTAATAGGTGTGGTTGCAAAGCACGTGCAGTTTATAGGCTTGCCGGCACTAGTGGATATGAAATTACATTCTTTGAGGAGAGGCATAACCATTGTATGTTTTCTGATTCTTCGATGCCATTTCTCAAAGTGAATAAGAAACTTGACCTTGGGCATCATTTTTTTTTGAATTGCGCTAAGGCAAATACATGCATGATGAAATGCTATCGATTGTATAAGGAAACTGTTGGCGGTTATGCCAATATTGGTGCTACATCCGTGGATTTTAAGAATTTCAAACGTGACTTGAAGGCTTATTTAGTTGGCGTGGATGCTCAAAGGTTGATAGATAAGCTTTTTAGAAAGAAAGAGACTTCTTCCGCCTTTTGATTTGACTATGTTGTTGATGAGAGTGACCAGTTGACACGTATATTTTGGGTGGATCCAGTGTGCGTAAAGAACTACGCGTTATTCGGGGATGTTGTTTCTTTTGATGCTACCTACGAGACAACAGGTATTTTTATAATTAGTTAATCCCTTTATTATTTAAATTATTCATAATTTTATGCATGTTACCATACTATTTTTCGTATGTTATTCATTGAAAAGTTATCGCAATGGGCATTTTAAATTTAATCAATGCACTATTAATTTTTTCTTTGACAACGCAGGTATAACATGGTTTTTGCCCCTTTCACCGGCGTTGATAATCACAAAAAGTGCATTACTTTTGGTGTGGGTTTGTTGTTGAAGGAGGATGTGGAATCATACTTTCAGCTATTTCGTTGTTTTCTAAATGCAATGGGTCGAGAACCAAAGTGCATCATTACAGATCAAGACAAATCCATGAAAATTGTTATTCCACAGGTCTTCACTACAGCATGTCACAGATTTTGCATGTGATGTTGGTCCCAAATAATAAGATTGAAGAACAGCTAAATAAGATCTACAATAATATAGAGAAGGATTCTTAATAATGATTGAGAAATAATCTGAACAGAAGAAATCCTTACGCTATACTATCGAGAAATAAAGAACGAAAACTCTGAGTGAAAGGCGCTGTATATTTCTGATTATCGATTATTCGGTCCTGTACCACATGTACGCATATTTATAGGCGTAGGTACAGGTACTGAAATGGTAACCTAGAACTCTGGGCCTAAGGCCTTTTTGGGCCTTATTACCATAGTTCATTTATTCTTTACATAATGGCTATAAATGATAAAACTATTCTAATTGGAATAACAAGACTCTAGACAAACTTGATCACAATAAATATTTTCCTCAACACGTTTGCATTTCCTATTAATAAATAAACAGCGCAGTCTTTAACATAGTCCTATTAAGGTAAATCTCCTTTGAAAAAGACTACACACACTGTGTAAGACCTAAGTAATGTGTTTTATCAAGAGTTTTAGTTGGATCCCTCACACGTTTGCATTTTCCTGCTTTATGATTGTAAAAATAGGATTTGGTTAACTTGCTCTTAAATAAATTATGAACTCCAACTTTGATTGTGCTTGGAGGACAAAATCACACTGGGCCACGCTCAACCTATCAGGCTCTTCTTTGAAGTCAAGCTAAGAAGACTACCATGGCCATGGAGGACTCTGATGGCTACACTAAACAAGTGCTGCATTGCCAAACACACCGGCTTCGACAAGTGCAGCATCTACCTTTTGACTGTCTTCCAAGGCGTGGCATTCATGAAAAATTATGACTACGTCTCGCTGATCTCGGACAACAATCTTGAAATGATCAGAAAGAGGAAAAGGACCAATCAAATCAAACATCTACCATATTTTAAATGGTTTTCACTACTGGTGCGACGCTTCTCCAGAACAACTCCATCCATCCACCGAAGACTATCAACGGAGAACGTAAGCAAGTATCTCCAAAAGATGACTAAGGATTCAATGCTTGTACCACTCTTAAATACTAGTGTCTCTATTGCAGTTAGCTGATCCGAATGATCCATCTGTCCGACGCTACTGCCAGAAGAATAACATTATACTCCCTATGGCTCAGATAACCCCCCCGAGCCTACCCAAGGGAGTCAGCCAAGAGCAAGTGAGGGTCCTGAGAGTTCAACCCAGCCACATAGACCAGCGGCGGTTTGGCCCCATGATGATCAGACTATGTCTGCTGAGGGCCACCCCCAAGTTGCTGAGGAGACTACCTATGACTCATCTAGCCCAGCCAGACTACAAAACGCTGACGATGAGGGCTCCGGGAGCAAGGCTGGAAAGAGCAACAACGTCAAAAGTGATGAGGACGAAGATGATGAAGACGACAACGCAAGGAAAGCCATGAAAGCTCCGATACAAAAATGCTGATTCGATATCAAGCTTTCTACGGCTGCAGATAAAGAGGTGTCTTATTTGAGAAAGAACACTTAAGGACAGATTATCAGTGAGACTCGCTCTAAGTAACATCATGATGTCCTCTCTTCATCACTCATTCCTACGCAAAGAGTGCAAACATCAAGCAACCAGGCTGAAGAAATGGCCTTGTATGACGGTTTCTCAGACCTAGATAAAATAAACCGGGCTAAAGTTTGGCTCAGAGTCAGGACGTGGCTGGACATTCCTAGGGAGATGGGGACCATGCTGAGCTCGTTGAAATGGATCAAGAGGAAGAGACAAGGCTCGGGGATCAAAGCTAAGGCGGCTAGGATTGCTTTTTGCTACTCCATCTACTGGATCTGGAGGACCCGGAATGCTACATGCTTTGATGGCCTTGTTCCCAAAGAAGAAGATGTTTTTGCGAGAATTCAATACATTGTTTACAAGATTTTGTATAGTCTTTATCCACACGAACTTGTAAAGTTGTGACGTGTTTTGCCCAACCTTCTCTTTGTTTGGGTTGGACGTTTCTTGTGGCTGTTTTTTGGGCTTGTTTGTGCTCCACCACTGCTTCGTTTTGGTGTGGAGTTTTGCTTGTTTTGGAGTTCTTTTGCTAGGTTTGGGTTATCCATGTTGGATAACCTGCAGTTTTGTTTCCCTTTTTGCTTGTACATTCTGAATCTCTGTTTTCTTGGGTGGCTCCTTTAATATACTTACAGTTTATCCAAAAAATAAACCGGGCTAACCCCATAGGCACAGAGACTGATCTTTTCAGTCTCCGAGTAGAAGACACAGCATCCAGCTCAACTGTGCATACACAAGCCTCCCCTGACCACTCTGCTGCCTCCCAACAGGTTGTAGTTTCAACATCAGGGGATCTCATACCCACTCTCTGCCCCCTTTCGGAGCAGTCGAGGATATCTATAGTAACCACCAGCCCCAGGTCACTACCCCTCATTATACCACGTTGTGTCTAAGTGTCACCCTCCATATACTTTCTAATTTTTCTAGGACACATACACTTTTCACACCACCGCACTCTACAGGTCCACTTTACCTGTCAACAACGATCGGAGATACGTTGATGATGATCGGAAGTCCTGCTGCTCAATAGATAACTCAATCATTATCTGCAGGCCACACACTAGTAATCTTTATCGATGTTGTGATAACGGTTACTACCCCTGTAACCGGACAGCTTTACCCTACCGACCTTTCTGTCATTTTGTAGCATTTCTTGGATTCCACCATAAAACCATGGGTGCACGAAGGAATAACCGCTCGGGCACAGGAATTCAGGACCACCCCGGCACTTCTTTATGACATCATCCAAACCCTAGCTCAACCCTCATCCTCTCACTCCCAACAACAACTCACCCCAATCCTTACCCTATGCCATTTACCATGCCATTCAATGACCTAGCATCCATTATGCTAGCGAGAATTCTGGAAACCAAAGAAGCTCCGCTCACTGACAAACAAAGAGCTCTGCTTGTGGTACTTGAAACCGAAAGCACATGCAATGACAGTCTCCGCGGTCACAAATGTTCACATGAGGACCCCAATTATTCGGCTCCTCATGAGGGGGAGAATAACAGGCAACGGATACTCGAGCATGGTGCTTCATCTAGCCAATAACCCCAACCTGAACCCTCAAACAACCAAGATAAGATGCAAGAATTCTCTCAAGGATGCAGATTTTGAGGGGGAGTTTTCAAGGTTCTCCTCCCAAGCGCCAATTATCATCAAAGGCATCCTACTGAGTGCTACAGTTGAGGGGGAGCACAAAGAGAAAAGAGCATAGAGAAATGAGAGATAAGTCTCAATGGCTTAGTAAACCCAACTAAGTCTACCCAAGGGACAAAGCTGAGAGTGAGTGAGTAAATGAGTGAACACTATGAGAGTGAGGAAGCAGAAGGCTCAAGTGAGCGAGAAAACAATAATCAATGACATTTCTGCTACCTTAACTGTGCTATCAACCAAAGAATTACTCCCAGTCACTCAAATACTCCGGACAATACCCATAGGTTCAGGACTGAATTTATTCAGATCCTGGGTAGAAGTCGCTACATTTTGTCCAAACGGCGCGTGCACAACCCTACCCAAGACCACTCACTTGTCTCCCAACAGACATGTGTTTAATCATATTTCACGGGGAACCTCATCTCTCATCACTGTCTCCTTTCGAGGTAAGTGATACTGACCACAGTGGCCTCAGCCCCATGCCACTGACATTCATTGATCACGTCGTGTCTAGTTATCTCACTCCCAAATGTTTTGAATTTTCTAGGACACAAACACTCTTTAAAGTCAGTTGCAGGTCTTCATGACCCGCGAGAACTTCCATAGGGCTCATCTACTATGGATGTAGACCAATGATTGGAAGGAAGTCCTGCTGTTGCAACATAGAAATCACCAACATGTCCAGGCCATCGCTTTAGAGTTTATCTCTATGGTGATGATAACGGGTGTCTACGCGACCCCAGGGGGCTACAAGGTTTTCATTGCTGATCTTTATGATCATGTCATAACAACCAGAGTGACATCTACTTCAGATGCTTCACAATGAATGGTTGGAAGTCCTGTTAGAACTTTATTGCTTCTATCATTTTACACAGGCCACACATCGGTGTTTACATTGATGTTGTGATAACGGAACACTATGGTATATCCGGTTTTTATCTTATTTTTTCCTTTTAGTTTTTGTTATCCAGAATAAAAGAATAAAAGCATGACGTCCCGATTCATCGGATCGTCATGAGGGGGAGAATGGTCCACATGCTGTTTACTATCAACAAATCATTCTTGGACACTTCTCTCCTCCATCACAAAAATCAACGACGGCTCTCTATTCTCTCAAATCATCAAATGGTCAGCTAAACTCAGAAGTTAACCATCTCTTTCCGCTGTGCCACCGACGATATCTCCTCAAAGTCAATCTTTTTCCGTTGTGCCACCTACACATTGAAGGAGACAAAGGTCGGGTAATCAAATTCTGAAAATGAATCACATGCGCGCCTGGAAATCATCAGAACATTCATTCAAAAGGCGCCATTGGAATTCATTCAAGCTGATCAAGAGCAACTTCTTGAAGACAAGGACTACATGCAAGACTTTGAAGATTCCTCAAACCCTGGCATCAAAGAATAAATTGCCAAGAAGATATCAAAGGGGAGATTGCAAGGATTTCTTCCAAAAGCATTCTTAAGAAGTCAAGCTCAAGACTAAGACAAAGGAAGCTGAGCTGCACTGAAGATCAAGAAAAAAGAGCAGCAACTCAACAAATGTTATCTACGCTCTCCTCTACATTGCTGAATAAACACAAAGACAAAGATATTCGCGCTGCAATGCTGATTGAACAAGATTGAACACCAAGGGGGAGATTGTTAGGAATATTTTATGGTGTCCAATCTGGTTAATAAATATCTTTGTATTTTTGTAGCTATTTTGTCTAGATATTTTAGCCCATTGGGATCTTTGTTAGCTATTATTAGATTAGCTTTATTAGGAAATGTGCAAAGTGTCTATTGGGCCAAATCAATAAAAGAGCCCAATCATGATGCTTAGGTCACATCACACATTCCCTAGGCATATAAATATTGCCTTTAAGGGAATGTGCAGTAGGCTTTTTGAGAGATGATTCACGCGCATATCATTGTAGTGAGAGAGAGAGCCGATACTTCCCTTCTCGATACCCAACTTTGTATTTCTCGATCATTTTGGTATTGAATGGGTTAATCTGTTTCTTCTCTACTCTATATTTTGTATGATTGTTGGATGAAATAGGGACAACAAGGTGACTGCATGAACATGTTCTCTTGGGTTAGGCTCGGTGTTGCTAGGGAGGGATCCCCGAGGCCTCTCAGATAAAGCCTTTGAGATTTGCCCCAATTGAGTCTCCATGTTCTGCATCCTTGCCTCAGTCATTTGCATCCTTGAGTCTGCTTGTTGTTGAGATTGCATTTGTTGCTGCTGAAATTGCAGCAATTTCTTGAGTGTTTCTTCTATGCTAGAAAATCTTTGTTCAGTCTCTCTCTCCTAAAGCTCTCTTGCACTGGCTGAGATGCTTATTGTTGATTATAGTTCCTAGACTGCTGCTGCTGCTGATTTCCTTGCCCGTAATTCCCTTGCTGCTGCTGATTTCCTTGTCCGTAGGGCTGATTGTAGTAGCCCTGTCGCTGATAATACATTACATCCACTTGCTCTACTCCAGGGGCTGCCGAGTGTGCCATCATAGTGCATTCATGCGGCGAGTGGAGTCCCCCACACATAGTACAAGAGGGGCTAATAGGACCGGAGGCTACCATACTAACACTGGGCACCGAGAGAGCAAGATTCATCTTTTTCTGATTATCCTCCACAATAGTAGCTAGCTTCTGGATCATGCTAGTCAAAGCATCTACCCTTGCAGAAAGGGCAGAATTATCACTAATCTCATACAAACCCGGGGCCTTCTGGTGAGGTGTGTCCCGAGAGATGTACCATGAAGCATTATTCGAAACAATCTTCTCCACTAATTCTTCCGCCACCTCAGATGGTAATTTAGGAAAAACTCCTCCACCCGAAACATCAAACATCATCTTCCCTTCATTGCTGATTCCGCTATAGAAGCAAAATAGAATCTCACTATCGGTCATCTTGCCTTTAGGGCAAGCTCTTCTCAGCGCTTTAAATCTCTTCCATGCTTCAGCCAATGTCTCCAATGAGCCTTGCTTGAAGTCTTGTAGCTGCTTCTTCAACTTTATCGCCTTTGACGTCCGAAAATACTCCTTGATGAAGGACTTGTGCAGCTGATCCCATGTCTGAATATGGTGATGTGGATTGCTATCCAACCACCTCTGCGCGTCATCCCTCAATGAAAAAGGAAATAATAGCATCCGTACCTGATCGTCATCTAGCCAAGGGATCTTAAAAGTTTGGCACATCCTCAGGAATTTTGTAATGTGTGCCACTGGATCTTCTGTAGGGCTCCCTCCAAACAGATTATTGGACACCATGTTAATCACTGCTGGGTTGATCTCATAGCGGGGTGCGGTAATTCCCTACACTTGAATGTTGTCATACTCTGTGATGCCCGGAGTGAGGAAATCTGTAATGCTGTCTCCCTGATAGAGCGGATTGTCATGTGGGACATAGTGTTGGAATGGAGGAGCCTGATATCTCGGTTGAGGTGCTGGCTGTGGACGAATGGGTTGTGGTCGGATGACGGTTGGTTGTGGTTGAGGCTGAACTTGGGGTTGACAGAATGGTTGAAACTGGTTTTGGAAGGGCTGAGTTTGTGGTTGATGAATGGGTGGATTTTGAGTGACTTGGGACTGGTTTTGTCTCGGCTGGAAGAGTGGATTGTTTTGCCCAATACCTTGCATCCAATAAGTTTGGTTTTGAAAAGTGGTTTCGGGAGCAATAGAGGTATTTTGGAAAAGCTGATATAGTGGTGGACGATTTAATTGTGGAGTGGACTGATTTTGAGGAAAGAACGAGTTGCGGGAATTCTGAAATCCCGAGTAATTACTAGGTGAAATAGGCGGTGAAGACTGGGGAGAGGTATTGACATAAAAATCCAGGTTACCAGAAGTGGTTTGGACCTCAGACATCCCAGCTGTTCCAGGTGATGTTGGTTGGTCCATGGTTACTTTCTTTTCGCTTAGAGCCTTGCGAATCTGTCTGGCGAGCTTCTCAATCTCAGGATTAAGAGGGAGTAGTGATTCTCCCTTCTTAGAGCGTGTTTGCATAAACAGATCTGACCTGCAAGGTTAACAGACAAAAATCCTACGAAAAACTAAAACAAGTCGCTGATATTAATTAACCCTTAAATCCGACACCGTCCCCGGCAACGGCGCCAAAAACTAATGAGTGTTTTCTCGCACTTAAAATAGTTGTAGAAAAGTGGTTGAAAGTACGAGTATCGTCTCCACAGGGGCGGACAAAAGGGAATTAAAGATTAACTAAATTCAGCGATAAAAAAAAGAAATAAATAAAATAAAATGCAATTGCGCGAGATTGGTTGATTGAATAAAATAAAAATAATGCTAATGAGCAAGTAAAAAGATTGGGTTTCTCCTTAATTAACGACGAAGGGAACATGAATTGATTCCGAGGTTAACCAGATTTCTGGCAGATCAGACCTAATTACATGATCCTAAATTATTGCCAAGACGAGCGAGCTTACGGCCCCTTAATCGCTACTAATCTCTTAGCGAACGATTAAATGTGTGTGAATGTGTCCTAGAATAAATTAGATCTCTCTTAATTTATTCTACAAGCAATTGTAATTCTAGCCGCGGTTCCAGGTTACAAAAGATATCAATTAAATTGTTCAAACACAAATTAAACGACATTCATGCAATTAAACCGGAAAGAATCTAGCCATACATCATGATTAACCCCTTCATGAACCCCAAATCCCTAATTAAACTACTCACGCCTCATAATTGACGAATCAATAGAATCGGGATGAATAGAATAAATTGTCATTAATTAAAAGAATTGAACTTACAAAGAATCCCAGGTTCTCGAAGTAAACAACGTAAAAACGCAGGTAAAACTCGTCCTAGGCCTCTCCACCAAGTTCATAAAACTAAAAAGGGGTATGGAGGCCTTATTTATAGAAAACAGGAGAATTTGAGTTGAAATAGGACAAAACGGGGCCAGGCACGATCGTGCCTGGGATCGTGCCTGCGGAGCATGCGCGCATCTCGGTTGGAGGCACGATCGTGCCTGGCCAAGACACGATCGTGCCTGGCTGGCAGTA